AATATTTCTCAATCTATATAATAAACGTTGTGATTATTATAGCAGATTTGTTTGCTGGTTATTGATAGTAAACCAGGACGTCTTGTGTTTTTTATTTACTTTCCATACAGTTAACAACAAATTTATAAAGGAAAACCAGCATAGCTCTTCGACTCTATGGTTGATTTGCAGTAAAAAAAGCAATACCATCTCATAAATAACATCAGAAAACATAATTTCATGGAAATGAGTCATCTCTTTTTATGAGGTTTGCTGTTTCAGACAGCCTGCTTAGTCCTGTTGCTCTGCTTCAGTATATGCATCGTAAAGTGTTCTTTTACATGTGCATGTATATTGATTTATAAAAGAGGGGTGCTCCGTTAAAATAGCCCGTTCTGTGTCAAGCTATTTTCACAATATATTCTTCAACTAAATTCCTAATGTGTATAATGTAGTTACTTTACAATAAATTAGACAACCTATTGTTTTCTATTATACGGACGTTTAAATATTATTTAAACGTCCTTGATATAAGCTCCAGGTTTGATTCAAACTTTGGTTTACCTCAAAATATGGTTAAAATGATATGTAACTGACTCTATATACGGTACCTATGCAACCATAAGAACATCATTTTTGGTCGGATTATTTCAGTCTAGAATAATAATGAGATACAATCTACTAATCTTTATTGAAAACTAAATGCATTTGTTTGATATACATGGATTGATGTCAAGGATGACGTGCTATTTGTAAGAATTTTAAGCCCGACATGAAAAGGGTAGGCCTGAATACCAGGTCGTAGTTTAAACCGCATTATATTGCAAGGCTAGAAGGCAGCTGGTACCACATGACAGGGTAGTGGAGTGCTAGAGTATTTTATATTTAACAAGTACACGATTTCATCGCTTAATATGTTTACAGTTAAGACCAAAACAATTTTGTTGCAAGTTTAATTGATAAAGTATCTTTACACCTCATTATTATTATTATTTACCGACGGACATTGCATGAGGGTATATTTAGACCTTCATATGTGAATAACTATTAGTAATGTATACTCCCCTATACATTTTACCCCAACAACATTTTCTTTAAACCCTTTTGCACTTCTTTCCCTTCTTCCTCCCCCATCCTCTTCTCTTCCACATACTTATATCTATATGCATACTAATCGTCAGTGCCGTCCAGTTGCCGTTTTACAAAAAAGGAGACGGATTTACCGAAGTACTTTTTACTTGTTTTCGAATCCTATATGTATATCTTGTTTGCATTCCTGGACTATTTTATCGATAATAAAATCAAGTTTAAACTAATAACTATGAGCACGTTCTGTCTAATGTTTATAAGAAAAGAAAATAATATGATACTTAGCGAATGTGTGGATTTCTGTGTGAATCTTACACTGTAATTATACTTTCTCAAAGACCAGTGTTATGATGCCCATCCTTCGAATCAAAACAGGCGATTTTTACAGAGCGGAGATTTTTCGTTTGGTTTTTATTTCTCGTATTTCCTCCAGTTTAATGATATTTTATCATATTTTGAATTCACAAAATTGTTTTTCATTTCTGTTCAATTTGAAAACTGACACATATCATAGCATGATGTAATAATTTTGTAAATTTATGTTCAAATTTTGATTTTCCTATAACAGAAATGATATAAAGTCAACCAAGCTTAGGAAATAGTGATGTTATTACGTCAATATTCAGATATAAATAAATTTGAATATAATAAACAAAAAATATGTGTAGACAATTTAGATTTAATAATTTGAATGCATGTTAATCATAACAAAGGAACTGTTTTGTACGGAACATGTATGTGTCATAATCTAGATGTCACGCATGATCGAACATAGTCTGTGCCATCATAAGAGAGAGGGGAGTGCTACATTTCTTATTGTTATCCTGACTAATAATTAATAAGTAATTTGATAATTTATATCTATGTAAAACTAGTATTTAACTACCAAAAAAATATGTTTATTCTCTGTATGGCTGTCGTAACACAACCATAGTAGATGATCGTGTTTCATTTAACTCTTGATCATTTCCCCTTTTGGACCCCATGGAAATGATATACACATTGCATGTACTTTTATAATCAATATGTAGACTTGCAATGTATTTTCACCGTTATAAGCAATTTGTAATTCTCCTTATTTTGTCTTTTCTCCTATTTTCAGTCGAAATTGTTTCGACAAAAGCCCTACATCAGATATACAAATTGAGTGTGCGCGGAGATATCACTATTTCTCTTTTATATTGAATTAAATTATTTATTATTTTTATCTATTTTACATCATGTTTAACAAGTTTTTTCACGTCTGATAAAATAGTTAATTTAAAAATGTACCGAGGACCCCACTTACGTCCATATACGAGTTGGAACATGCAATATTAATGTATATGGGATAAATATTGAATGTGTCTTAACAACACCTGAATTTTAATAAATCAATTTGTCAAATGGATCCGTATGTGTAAAATTATAAATAAAATATGCAAAATGTATAGAAAAAAAACCATGAGATATATTTCTTTCATTACTTTTACATTGATGTGTTTTGGTTTCTACAGTACAGATGAAGAGATACCTACCGAGTGTACAGTTATACATACTTGTAAAATGAATATGATCATCGTTTACCCCGAGGGAAAATTTATGCAAATATTTATTGTATGCTTTCTTCTTATGATTGCTGTTTAAGAAAAAAAATGAAAGAATGAAACGTTAATAGAAACCGCGGTCACCTTTGATGTAAAGATCAATTTTGTCGTAGATTTTTCATGAGATAGTGTCAAACGGGGACAAGAAAAATACTGTTTTCCATGTTTTAGATCCCAACTAATGTAGAAAGCTGAACATGATGTGGCGCGGTCTTAACTGAACCGACAAGAATATTTTAAGATAATTTCTTTTTGGAAACACGCATGGTAGCACATTGTGAATTATACAGGCTAAAGAATTATCCTATTCTGTAGTATTATTCTTGTTTGATATGAATTTATGGGACATGACTAAAGCATACGGTTTTAGCAACACACTAAATTTACTGAATACTCGAATCAATTTGAACTAAGAAACCCTACGTACGCTTCAGCGATTTTTTAAATTTACATAAGAAAACAGTTTAATATTTAGAAAATTCTTTGTGAATTTTTTTTAAACATGCATGATATTTATTTGAAAATAATTGTGTTTTCTAAGATTGGTTTGAATAAAATTGTGTTTTATTGTCAATTTGATGTGGACTAAATGGTATGCAACGTCAAAACATGTGACTTAATGTCAAATTCAAATAAAACTTAATTTTAAAAGCTGAAAATTGAATGTAACAATTTCTCAAGGGTTTATCTTGATCCTAATTATACACGAAACATTAAAATATTCACATTTTCAAAGGTGCTTTTGAAAAAGAAATAATTTTGAAAATCCAGTCAATGAAATTTGATAGAACTTGTGTCTGATGTCTGAATAAATTTCAATTAAGTGCAATATTAAATAGATTATACCGTTAATGGGTATTTCAAAAGATACATTACAAGGATCTAGCTAATTTAAATTTGCTGATGTCCAAACGCACGAAGAAATTGCTTTGGTGATCGAATACCCATCCTTTAAATTAGTAATTCTAATCACTTTTTTAAATTCGTGTTCATACATTTTATCGTATATCAAGAAATCAGATAGCGCATCGATAAACAAATATTATATAAGTTTCATTAAAATGTAGCTCTACAGTATTTAATTATAATACTAATCTCACGTGAAGCGTACCAACTAACCCTCAGAACACAAAAGGGTTATTATTTTCTGTTATTATCCGTATTTTATTTCTGCATTAAAATGAATGTGTGTTTATATTAAACTCAATATTTTATAATCNTCCCCAACGTCATGTAATTTGCTATGGACCAGCAGAACCAACATGTCGAGCAATATAGAGAAGAGGCATCAACAAATTCGAGTTATTCCATTATCCGCTGACTGATATAACAATGTTTAACAGAAACAATTGATATGAAAACCGTATGTTGAATCAAACTTATCCAGTGGCGGATCCAGAGAGATTTTTTGGGCTTCAAGAAACCCCCCACCCTGAGAATTTTCTTAAAAAATCATGTATTTACACCATAATTCTCCCTATTTCCCCACATGGAACCCCCCTAGAAATTTGGACCCCCCGATAGGTCTCTTGATCCGCCACTGTTTTAGAATACAAATAAAAATATGTCATCGTCAATGCTATGAAATAAAATGTTATCCAATGTAGATTTCAAAGATATGTTACAGAGGTGATCCACATCGCACCTTCCACAAAGACTTCCAGTCACCTAGAATTTGTATTCCCTTTAGGCATCAGAATTAAATCACAAATACGACAAATGTCGTAAACATGCCAGCATATAATTCTATACTTGTTTCTCCAAAACATTTTGTACTCCGCCGGTGACCTTTGTACCTATTGACCATACATACACCGTGTCCGGAGGCGGGTTGTCCGTATACCCGGTAAATGACGGGTGGTCAGATAAGTTGATTGATAGAGGAGTGTGTATACTCAGACAGGTTACGAGCATCTGTCCTAATATTGTTGATTTTCTGGTCTAATAGTTTGACACTCTATCGCTAATAGTGCTGACCAGTAGTGGGGTCAGCCTTAGCTAAGGGTCAGTATCGCACTGGACAAGCTACATTAAACATTGGCTTAAGAACCAAGCTGGACATTCGCTCTGTGAAGTCATTTATGTATGTGTTGAGTGTCAAATCTCATTATATACTTTTATTAATGTTTTTCGTTCTTTCTCCTGTATTCGTTTGAAACTATTAGAATGTAATATTTTGTGAAATCCATGGGAATTTGATGTTGGTATCAAGATTAGTGAAACTTATACCTATGAAGATAATTATTATAATGAATGCTTAATTATTTAGAGAAAAATGCCTTTTGTTATGAACTACATATATCTATAATTTACACACACGGATATACTACATTTTCACATATTTACCTCTGTCAGTATTTTCTGTCCTTGTTTCTGCATCTGTTCTCTCGATTCTTGCCACAGATCTTCTGAAAACGACAATGAAATATCCTGTGCAAGCATGACAGGGAGGAAATAACTGATTGACGACAACATATTTTGGCTTATACCAGCTTCTGAACATGCCTGGCGGAGCCTATCTGACTGAGTGTCGTGGTTTTACGTGTATGGGTAGGGAGAATCGACGTTTGGCGGCACCCTCCTGACGGAGAAAGTGTTTAACAATCCAAGCGAGACTATCGTACATATGGCCCTCCTCCGACCCAACACATAGGTCTGGTATAACTACAGGCCTTAACCCGGGTACTCCGCTATCAAACACGGGTAGGTTCACCACAGAGCGCACTCGGTTTATTTAGGATTAAATTAAGCATGTATATAGTTTAAAACGGTATACAAAGTCCAATCCCTCCCAGTTCATCGATTCGTCGTCAGTGTACGCGGATGCCATGTTGCTTTATCGCGCGGACAGCTATCGCATTACCTATTTCCTCCTTGCGACAGACCTTTTCTTCTTTTCCCCTTCAATTTTTTCTTAAATATTTTCCATTGGAAAAAATCTCTTTGATTATGAAGTGAGACGGTATAGAGGCTCAGCCATCCGCTCCGAGGTCCTGACAAGCCAGGAGAAGCCTTAACACGGTGTACCGAAGTATAGACACCTCCCACAAAACGTACAAACCGGCGTTCCTTATGTCATACAAAACACATCCATTCTCGTCCATATCGTCAGGCGAACTTTGTCCGTATTTCATTGTTTCTATGATTTCTTTTTTAATTTGACGTCAGTGTGGTGAAATGTCAAGATGGTTGAAGAAGATAATTCAGCGACAGAGTCTAAGATATCCTATTCAATAACTAATGTTAAACATTTTCAAGCAACTTGTGTTATCAATATTTCCTTAATGTAAACATATTTGTCCGTTTGTACTTTCTCTGTTCTCCCAAATGAGTGTTATAAAGAATAATTTCACAGTCCGTTTTCCTGGCAGTACATCTCCAATTCATAATATCATAAATCCAGCATCATTCCACGTGTTTTGTTCACTGACAGTCGCCCATAGCGTACGGTTATCAGCCTACACATTGAAATATACATATATCTTTCCTGCTAAGGTAGTAAAAAGACGACATGATTTTCATACGAGACTTTAAAATGATGTATGAATCAACCCTTCAAACAATTCTTTTATCTTTACATTACAGTTGAGAGAAATCAGTGAGGCGTAACGCCGTGTTAGGGCGATGCGAGCGTGAGTGTCTATACATTAATAAATACTGTGTAACATTCATATGGAAAATGTTTCAATCAAACTGTTAAACCTGTAAATAACTTACCTGGTTCGTTTTGTGTTCATCAGAGGAAAGATCTGTCAGCTTTAGCAGTCATTTTGTGAAATTTTATCTTTGTTTTCAAACGAATTTTAGACAACGTTATACTATCTGTTAGCTACATATGTAGCTTGTTTCTATGTATCAGTTACTAGACACATATATATATAACAAGAAATTAAATACAGCGAATATAAAAATATGACAATTTTTCAATGTTTAAAACCAGTGTCTTTATTACTTTATTGAATGCCTACAATTGTAAAGTTCAATTAACAATCGTTGCTTAAATCATTAAACATTGACACAAAATTGAATTGACCATATCAGTACGCTTTCAAGATTCACCGTAGACACTTGGTTTGCTATGCATTATCACCAGCCACGCCCTTAAGTCTAAACTGACCTCGTATAATCCTATATTGAGTTAGTGTTAAAGGTTGAAATTGTCTTCTCCATCGAACCACGCTCGGTCATTTCCGTGAGATCCGGACAAGTGCAATTGATCCGATTGCTTTTCATTCGAGAAACAAAATCAATCTGCTGCCCTGATTCCAAAGGCCGAGACCTTTGTCTTTTCTCTTTACCACTCCGTGCCTCTGATGGTCCTCTTGATTGTTCCGTTGTCACATTAATATAACGAGGAGGTGTGGCAAGCTCCCGTGCCTCCATGTTATAGTATGTGACATTTCAGGGAGGGCGCACTTTAAAATGATCCCATCACATGTGACACCATCATAATATGACCTTATCTATAGTGATGACGCATAACGCTGACCAAACAAATTTTCAATCCAAGGTCAGCTTATTGTAAGATTTAAAGGATCGGGTGGCGCAGTGGTTGGCGCACATCTACCATGTGGGTTTTCTCCGGGCACTCCGGGGTTCCTCCAACATTGAGACCTCCCGAACCAACAAGAGTGATTAATATAAATTGAAAAACATGTTAAGTTTATTCTAGAGAGATATCGTAGTTTGGTTGCTTGCATGATTGAAATTGGAAGAAGTATGATATGAAAGGTATTCATTTGTACAATAGCTTTCATTTTGTATATTTATTTTCGGAAGTATTTTCATGACGGGACAGAAGTTTAAGAATAATGACCGGATTTCACACTGCTGATCTGAAAATATACCGGAAGCTGACTTGTCACCATCTGCTACAATGCAGATCCTGTCTAAAAGTCAACACTTCTTAAATAACACGTTACCGACACTAGCTGGAACTTACACTACATGTTTTTGTATCTCAAAAGCATAACCTTGAACGGAGGTTTAAACATTTTTGAACTTAAACATGTTTTCCGACAAAGTTTCTTAAACAAATAGTGTTCAAAGGTTCAATTCAACTGCGAAATAATACGTTTTATAGAAACATCTTTCCCATACGTTAAATGTCAATAATGTATTTCTTTAGGAAAGGCTATTTAGGACATGCCTGTACTCTGACCATGTGCATGTATGTTCAATATTTGCTATATTTTTTTTCAGGTTGTTCCCCGTTATCCGAAACCAAAGAATATTCACGTAATTTATGATTCACTTTTTCAGACATTTTTTAAAGGAGAATCTGACAATTTGAAGTTTTTTTGATAACTGCTAAAAGGTTCCGTTACTTCTATATAATCTTTTTGTTTGTTTGTGTGAGGTCATACCTTTTTCATGTGTTACCAGCTATCAACCAATTGTGTTTCAATCGGAAACATTCGTCCCTTTCCGTCATACTGTAGGGGAATCGGGGACCAATCATGGTGTGACGTCATATTAATGTTATGGCGGAAATTCCCGAATGATTCCGAATTAGATTTGATAGAAATCTGTTTTTCCTGGAAAATTATCTGTTCTATCATTTGATGAATCAGTATCATTCAACGAAAGAAAGAATCGAAAAAGATGAAACTAAGTTTTCTTTGTTGTTTAAACGGAAAATTAGGATCGCAGGAACGTATTTTAACGTAGCCGGATTTCATTTCAAATAGGCTCTTTGATCCTTAAAAATACGTTTCTTTTTATGACCATTTCTTTTTTTTGCTTAAAATCTTAATATAACGCGTTTCAGTTCTGTGTTTATGTGCTCTTTAATACATGTACGTTTCATGAAGCTGACACACAGCGAATACGTTTGATGGTCCCCTCCCCTTAAGAAGTGGACATAAGCAACGGAAAATGACTACAAAATGACGATTTTAGAAATACGTTATATTGGACATTTAAGGTTGCAATTTTTACCAGAAGCATTTGAAAGTAAAGGAACAAGGTTTGTCGAGTTCGTTACTTTGATACAGTAAAAGTACACGTGATCCATTTTAGATCAAAGGAATATGTGTTTTGAATATTGACAGCACACTTATTTTAGTATGTGTGTGATATCCCCTCTTCCGAATGCCCATAAGCAAAGTTATATTTAATATATACTGAGGTGTTCTTAGCAGTAAGTAAGATCAAACAGGGACTCATAACATTGATATAGATGCAAAGCAACAAAGACATATATCGGTGCTATTACAATATTTTCTGTATATGTACGAATTTATGGCAGGAAAGCCACTGCATATAAATAGATATTTTTCTATCCAAATCATGTGTGTTCCGATGTTTATTTCCTAATGCCATGTACAACATGAACCTTTCCAGACGGAAACTAGCATTTCCGAACGGATACCCTGGTGATAGGAGGGAGAGTGGGTGTAACCTAGAAAAGAAACCGTGTAAACTATGAAATGGATCCGCATTTGAATAAATTATAGATTATGCCAATTTCATGACATGCTGTCTGATAGAGTAAATTCAAAATGAACAGAATCAACGTAACAAAGAAATCAGGCATTTAATGAAACGCAATTTCATAAACACATATAACAACGTACACACATAATTTTAGCATTGAACACACTCCTGAAAGTTTACCAATAGCATGCTCTGAAGTTTGTATTTTTTGGCATTATGCCTATAAGAAACCAGCTATTTGTAGATATACTAATTTGTTTTAGTTTGAAATATATACCAATGTACCTTAAAACGTGTTGTGTTTAAAGGTGCATCTTTACGTTCAGAGAACGTAGGAGACCAAATCCCGAATTTCGAAGTTATTCTAGTTTGTAAATGGAAAGTTTTCAAATTGGTAATTTTAATACAAAAAACGGCACATATTTTTTATGACTGGACACAAAATGAGTGCGGGTGAATAACTACATGTACAAATTGATTTTTTTAAATGTTCCCGGATGTATGACACGTCAATAAACATATAGGAACTTGAGCTAGGTAAAACATCACAGACTAACCCATAATTCAGGGAATTCGCTTCAATGAATTAACTACTGACATACCCTCACGGAAAAAAAAAAGTTTATAGGTTCGTGTATCACAACCAGTGAAATGCTAATGTGTGACGTTTCAGTGTGATATAAACTCTTTCGGTTCATCAAACAAATGCACGCGAATTGGCATTTTTCATCAAAACGTCACACATTAACACTTCACTGATTGTGATATGTGACCTCGTATAAATATACTTACAAACCCAAAGAAAATGTTTTGATAAATAATATTCGAAGTATTACATATCCAAAACTTAACTTATTATTGGGAACTTTATTCTTTGTTATACTGCAATTACAGGAAAAACATAGTCAGGTATACCAATACAATCCTCTTCAAAAATAGCAGGCACGTGTGTAGATAAAGACTGTTTTGTGGTCACAATAACAGACATGTATTATCATATGTAGTCTATACCCTACGTATACGAAATAACACATATCAAACAATGTTCAGCAGGATCACTAATAAAACGAAAGTCAAATACAAAACTTATTGTATATAAAAAAATACAAAGTTTTCATATATCTAAACACATATATAACTAATGAAAATATTGTTTTGATCAATATTAAACTGAAGTATTTTTACTTTTTTTTATTCAATCCCAAATCGTATTGGTACACATAAAGATTCCATCTAGACTAGCCAACCTGACCAGAGCGCAAAAATATATAATTACTAAGGCAATAATCTAAATAGAAATTGGCAGGACTTTCGACAAGCATTAATTTAACTGGCATTAGCGATGCATAAGACAAATTTGCTCTCTATATGGACAGAATCCTGTAAATAATACGTAAAAAATAAACAAAGCATATAACAAACATACATTCTGCGACGTAAACCCACACCTATACAAAACAATTTCTACTACGAAAATAAAACTTGATTGTATGTCACAGGTATGATAGGATTAATAATACAAGGGAGGTAATTACTGCCTTTCACACACAAAACACTAATATTTCAAGAGTTATTCCCCCTATACTTTATTCCTGAACTATGCATTGTAATACACTGTACGTTGTTAAAAGTCTTTTCTTGGGAACATTACAACTGACTATAGAAAAATAATAACGAATCATGAAAGTTCTGTTGACTCTGCAAACATTTGATTGTACTATGACGAATAATTTATATTATTACAATTTAGAAACTAACCAAGATACTGTTCCCAGGTTTTTATATAGCTCTGCAATGGATGTCCTTGTGGAAAACAGACAAGCTGCATTGTTCAAATCTGACATATATTTCTCAAGTTTTATGTGAAGGAGTTCTCCGAATTGAAACATTAAAATAATGTTTTGATTGCAAAGATGGCAATTTCCCGTGGTGTTATTAGCTGAACAGTGGCATTGATTTCAGGAAATATAGATACTTCAATAAAAAAACGATACCTCAATTTTTCCTTCGGACAACAAACCTTTAGGAACCCCGTACCACTTCCAGAGAATGTAGCTATGCATATTTTTCCGACATGGCTATTGTTTGATGGATGATTTTTTTAAATTTTTATAAAGATTTAAAAAAAATCAACAATCAACAAGTATTCACGGCGGAAACATACGGTGTGTTCTCCTTTACCCCACTTTTTAAAAAAAAATATAGAGGTAATAATGTTGTGATAGCAGTTATAGTCTGTTTCATATATATTTTACCTGGTTTTTACCTGTGTTCTCCCACATTACCTGTATCATATATACAGTACTGTCATATACATGTAGCTTTGATATAGTCTATTTTCATCATTTTTAGACATTTTTTTCATATCATATACCATTTTCATAAGCTAGATCTATACAAAAGAGTAACGTGAAATCCACAAATATTTTGAATATTTTATATATTAATAGTATATATATAGATAATAATGCTTTGATTAATTTAATTGTTAAATTTTTAAATTTCAATTTAAATTGATTTTATTTAGGGTGAAGCAAATTCTTATTGGAGCCTTATTTTCAGAGAATCTTCAGTGTTATTATTAATAACTTAGTATCACTCATTAGATTATTTTCCCCTAAAACATAATAATTAGTTATGTTTCTATTTGATAACCCCATATGGCTTGGGTTCACTGATATTTTTAGTCCATAATAATGACCAAGAGCAAAATGCTACCGTAACATCGACAGCCGCCTTAACCAACAACTAAAGCCCCTGAAGGAACGCTTGGAGAATGGTACAACATGTACAGATGTAATCCAGTACACCGACACGGCATCCCATCTTTTGCATTTATAGTGACATTGTGATAATTGTGCTTGATATGGAATTTTTATTTGGTGCTTTGGTAAAATTTCTTAAAATTTTGGACTTTTCATTATCTGTGCTTTTTATAGACTTTCCAATATTTCACGTTTAGTAAGTTAGTGTTATTGTTTTAGTTTTATATCATGTGTCTTTGTGCGTGTGCATTTTATGAATATGATTGGTTTGATCAACAAGCGCTGAGTATTCCATGTGTACATGTATTTTTTTTTATTTTTTTTTTCATTATTTGCATCTGTTTTCTTTACTGATTATATTTGTCATAAATTTCTTGCTAAATTTAGTTCTATTTTATGAAATATATATATAACATACTTGTAAATGTATAGTAAAAATGTATAAAGTTGATTTTATATGAAATTAATAAAAAGCAGGTTTTCAGTTAACGAATTTCGATGTGTTTTTATTAAGTAATAACTGGAATCTTGTATATATTTATTCATAATTCCAGTAAATATTACGAAAATCAGGAAATATATTTGTTAAATATTCCTATAACTAACACAGTATTTCCTATTGCTGAACAGGTAGATAATCTACCCGTACTATACCAGAACAGACTATAAGGACACCTCTATTGTATTCCAGTGTTTATATAATTCCTTTGATCAGAAAAAAGTGCGAGAAAGGAGAACAAACCAAACTTACAAGGACCAATCCCTATACTTCAATCATTAGGCGGTCGCGCTATCCAACTGAGTTACTCAGTCAGCAGCATTGCAAAACTACAGTAAAATTCTCTAGTGTTTTGTCCGTATATGGACAGGAATCCTTGAAGTTATCAAACATCAGATTACTTCTCTCCCAAACGTTTACAATGATTGATATTGATCAGGTTTTTCTATGATAAAACTTTAGACAATCATGATTTCCAAGGAACATAAATTTCTAGAATATAATGCGTCTTTCAGTACGAGTTATCTCCACTTCTCCGTTACTTCAAAGAAGCAATATGGAAATGAAATTGTCCAGTTTCGATTCATGGACAATTTTGAAAACATAGGTGGTGAAAAATGAAGCTTGCAATTAACGGTCACAATGCTGGTGAGTACTATAAAATCGTTTACCTTTAATGGCTACAAATATATTTTAATAAGTCTAGCCCAAAAAGCAACGATACATTACACCTAAAACTTATCTGGTATACTGATATATTATAATTTCGTCAATGTATTATAAAAATATTTATTTCAATGAGAACACTTTAAATGATTTATGAAATTATATATCAAAAACATAAATATGTTTTTATTACACAAGCATAAACTTCTGGACGTCTTGTTTTAAACCTGTATGCTTATATGGTTCTCAAGCCAAGCTAAAGTACTCCATTGTGATAAACCTAGAAGATTTTTTTTTTATGTTACAAGGTTGGTCTTATTCCCATGAAATAATGCACCAATCCAATTATTGATTGTATAGACTGCACTTAACTTGAAAATGATGGCACTCACTGTATATTAATTATAAAGTATTTGAATTGATCGTCAAGGTTAGAACGTACACACACACACAGGCAATGACCCCGTACTGGTTCGGGCATAGCATGTTATCGTAAGAGGCCTCAATAATCGGGGTTTGTCAAAACTAAACTGCTGCACCCAATGCAACATTTAATATCTACCTGTTTCCTTTATTTCACTTCTCCCTTCCTTTACGGCGGTGTTCCCTAGACAACCGTCTTCATATGACCCTCAGGGGTTGTTGTGAGTCACATACCTATTTCTTATGGTACTCATTCCAACCACAGTACAATGGCCACTACAGATGTTTATTCCCCTTATGACCCATGAACATTATATTACAATGTTCTATATTAAATAACTCACATTTACCCTATCCCCTCATTGATTGAATCATAAGCATGTGGTGGCCGGTGATTTGTGATACTGTTTTTAGAAACAGAAGGCAATTATTCACTGCCAGATGTAAAGTATATTCCTCCGGACAATTTTCATAAGTTCTAACATTTTGAACAATTCACACATTATTTGGCATCTAATTTAACAATTAAGGACTTTCATTTCGGTGAATATGTGGTTTTATGGACCGGGAAATTCCATTATTAATAAGTATGGCATCATCTGAAACAATACGGCGAAGACACAAAACCATGACAAACATAAACTTCTTGGTATTTTCTAGCCTACAGTAGCATACGTTGATGTCGTTCTTCCTGGCGTAATTGTTATAGTGAGATGGCATTTGAATATATTATTTATTTCTCAAGTCGGTTCATTTTTGTCGTCCCCGACAATAACTACAGGTCGCTGACACTGTTCTTCTGCCTGTTTGAGTTTTTCAAGCGCAACATCTCGCTCCTTCTCCGCCTGAGTACGAAGTTCCCTCTCCGCCTCTATCTGGTTCTGAATGTCTTTCCTTACAAAAATGTTCACATCTGTAACAAATTTATGAATAGTGATTAATTATAATTATTATTACGTCACAAATTCAGTTTCATGCTACTAGTCTAAGATTTATAGTGTTACCGAAATAGTGGTGTGACGCCTCATCCCTCTCGTGAACTTTTTTGGTGTGACACACTGCTCAACACAGTTTATGAAAGATGCACGTAAAGCCATACACACATGCGACTGTACCGTATTGAAATACTATAAGATGACATTGTGGTATTGTTTCTTCATGCGCATAACTAACAAACTTTCTGTTTCTTTTATAATTAATAACATTTTTTTTTTAATTTTTGAATTAACATTTACGAAAATAAATATATCTCAATACGCACTTTTGTAAACTTTGATTTTAAATTCATATTAAAATTGTGAATAATGGATACTGGTTTGCACATTACATATAAAGAATTGTTATTATGGAAAATATGTTAAAGATGTGTACCTTCTGAATGTTGTTTTGGATTCCGTTTGAGAGAGGTGATACCGGATAGAAAAACTTGCAGAAGGAGTTATACAAAATGTACGATTTCAACTACTTACTGACTAAGAGTTTAAAGAACCTCCACAGCCTGAGAAGGATCATCAGAATGACGATGTCTCTCACTAAGGAACTGACACGTGACAGAGATAAGGCAATATCTAATACAAATGACACCAGAACAACTGCCGCATCAAAAACCTGTAAAAGGAATACTTGTGATTAAAAAAGGTCGATTCCGGTTCCCCTAAAACAATAAATGAATGCTACTTACTGCTAGTACTAAATACATTTTTTGATTTTTGGTACTAGTTATAGCCTTGCGCAAGTCGGATATTTCTGTTTAGTTCAGCCTAGAGTGACCAATTAATGTAAGCACCTTACTATTCAATAGTAGTCGTAGACTAATGGTATGACATCGACAACGGTGAGTTAATATAGCATACCAAATGTGTCCACGCAATTAATATATTGGTCATGTTTATAGACTATTACAATTTTTCTTTGCGTACCTATGTCTTTTCTTTTCAGATTTAGTCTAATATAATTAAAACAAATGGAACTGTTTCCCCCCCCCCCCCCCCCCCCCCCTCCCCTCAAATCTTTATTTTAGATATTCAATTTATAACTTATCAACTGGTCGATCTTATCCAACGTAATTATAGCGGCCGTTTTGAATTGTCTACTTGATATACTTACTTTAACATATGTTGAACCTATTGACCTATTGAGATTCAAAACAAAATTCGTAACCTTGACCCCTGTCTTGATTGCCAATATTGAACTCTGATCCCCATTAGCAGCAGTAAAATGCTCCCTATGAAAAGTTCATGTTGAATCAATAAGTAACAGATGCCACAGAAACAGTGGTACATACAAGTCAAGTCTAGTTGGTATACATTTTATTGCCACGAATTGCAATGGGATTGCAGTGTTTTGACATGCATGAACACCTATAGAATGAACTAACACAGAGATATCCCAAATCATAACCCGTGCTAGATTGTTCTATCGCGTCCGATCTGTCTGGTATCTTTACGTGATATTTCTCAGAATATTTACACAGCAATGTAATTATCTGCGCTTTAACAGCTCAAAAATTGACAATCTGTATGTTAATTATACTGTTTTGTCGTCATATATATTGTTTTGATGTTGAAATACCTGATGTTGTAGATAGAATATAATCTACACTGTATATTACGTTGTCGTCTTTGTAAGGACAGACTTCCGTTTTACACGGAACCATTCAAATTTAGCTTGAGTAGTGTATATTTTTTTTTTATTTGAGGCCCAAGACGAGATACTTGTAGTCATTAGCGAAATAGAATATTTTTGTTTCGAACTAAAAGGTACAAAAACTAAATCTCGGTCAAATACAGTTAATTGGTTTTTATAACATTAGCTGTTAAATATGTAATGGGTTGCTTGAAAACATCTTCAGTTACAAATATGTTTCCAAAAACGGCCATGAATACTGTTGATTCCTATCCCCGATGTTGTGTCAGCTGCACACAAAATAAACGTAAATTGTCAATGATATCATTGCCTGCGCATATCTACATCTAAAACGATATTTATTAAATTGAGAGAATCGTCCGATGCTGTACGCTCACATTAACCCTTTCACCACTGTTGACCATAATGGACTCATCCATATCAATGATGGTAGAGTCTACTTAAGTTACATAGGGGTGAAAGGGTTAATTTGCGGAAGACAGAAAAAACCTGTGCGGTTTTCCTGAAAAAGAACCGTTCAGATGATCAATGTCTTTGGTGCAACTCTCAATACAGATCATTCTCTTAATGTAAAACAAATGACATATACATTAAGAATTTAATGTTAGATTTTAGACTTGCATTGCTTAGGTGTCAGGTGAAAGCAAAATATTTTTGTATAAAAACAAGTCAAGGAGTTGAATATAAGGTTTAAGATTAAGTTACCTTTGTTGGTGATTTTGGTAGACCCCAACGAATGATAACCTAACACATGTTGCGTAACCATGCTAACCTCAATTATATATTACACTAAACCATGCTAACCTCAGTTATATATTACACTAAACCATGCTAACCTCAGTTATATATTACACTAACATGTTAACCTATTCTAATTCTAGGACATGTTCATGTTGAGTAGTTATCACCAGAATGATTATCATAACATCACCCTAAAACGAATTATACTTTAGACGAGCCAATTACGAACCTCCAGTTTCTTCTTGAAAAAGCTCGAGCCATCGGCAATAATCTTCAGCATTATCTGAATAAAAGAGAAACGATATGCTATGTTTGTTTTGAAAATTTTATATATTTAATTGCAATATTTATTGACAATGAACCTCATTCATGTACTTATGAAAGTTATTGACATCACAATCTACAGTTCTGTCGAAAACACTGTCACGTCATTGATGGTGTTCTGCACATGAACAGTATTGCCGACCATCAGCTATACCATCTTCGCTAGCCAAGCGTTTGCTTCGTATACAAAGCGAACACTTGGAAAGGGAAGATGCAGCTATACAATCCGCTCAACATAGTATTTACCTACAAAATAAATCAGAATTGCCCAGTAACTTGTAGAATAACCTACCTCTAACATAAACAATGACAGTATTGTTAGCCCGGTATAGTGAAGGCCGTTTTCGACTTCTTCTTTTTTGGAATGGTTTTCGCCATCACCTGACACTACAACAAAAAGAAACATTCCCCCGCCGACATCAAACCAGAAAGAAGCTGAGTATACTTGAGATGTACTTGAATATCTATCCAAAATAGTAATCCTTGTTACGTGAAAAGATGACACATATCACACAATGTATGCATGATATATACATGAAACGTTCGTTGAATAACAAAAAATCATTAAGCTGTTAGTCTCTTTCACTCAGATGCTTTATCACAAGTCTGTGTTTGGCGTAGTTTGTGCAGACAACACGAGTAAGGTTGAACGAGACTATGAAGTTGTCGGAAGAGGAATCATAAAGTACAAATTGTAAATAATGAAAATTAAGACATACAATTGTTGAAATATAGAGAGCGTTTTTGTTAGTTTCTCGGTATTGAAGAAGTTATGATGTTTATCCAAGATGAGATGTTACTAATTTTAAAATAAAATGTTCACTTTTCAGTAGGTGTCACTGTCATATAACATGCTTCTAACTGATCACTTTACAACGCGTCATCTCATGTACGTTTCCAGAGTAACCAAAGGGATATTCGAAACCCAAGCTAAACCAACAGGACTGGATTTACCAATCTAACTTTTTCAGCCTTGATTTGCCTGTGTAGCAATTAAGAGCGCTCTGGCGAGGAAGGAAACTTATTGATTTATATTTATTCATTTATTCAGTTGACGAAATTCAATATGGTTCTCGGTAAACACTGGTAAATCATCTTTCTCTCAAAGCTATTTCATATTTTTTTCTTATCTTTCCCCAATCGGAGTTATAGTTTAAACAATGTTGCAAATTTATACATATGGAATCGTTTCAAACAAGACGATGCCGTTCAGCCATTTCTATAATAAGTCAAGATTACTTTAGAATCAACTATAATGCTGTATGATATTATCTCTCAAATATATTTAAGCTTTAATATCTTTGAGTGAAGATGGTGTAAATAAGCCCAATGTGGCTGTGTACAGAAGCATCTTGTCAATAGTATTTAAATGATGATGGAGGGATGGTATCCTGCTCCCAATTTCCTCCTCAATGTTTAGCTGTTGTGTTGTTGAAGTCATTTGGCCATCATTCGCCATACATAATAAATTATCATCAATATAAGTGGGGGGAAAACCAGATATTGAATCTTATATAATTTGAGTTTGTCTTTTATTTGATAATCGATTTCATTGGAACATCATAACCAAAGTAAATAACGGTAAGTAGAACCATTAGAAAACTGGGTTGACGACAAGGGCTTGATAAAATGTAAATCTAGGAAGAACTGTAATAAATCGTTTACTTACCGGGAATAACGTCAAGGTCCACAAAAAGCAGTAACAGAACAAAGATGGCGTCTAACACGAGCAGACACATCGATATGACGTGCACCTGTTTAGAGTGCATCACATTCCCAAGTTTCTGTTTCACCCTACAACAGAAATAAAAACAGTGATTTAACGAAAATCTTAATCTTTGTTAATTTGTTTATTTATACGGCTGATTGCTTCAACAATGTTCATGACATTTCGTTAAAGTCTGTTAAATTTGTATTCTGAATCGTCTTAAGGTGGCTCGACACATCGTCATCAGCGTCCATTTTCGTGACGTACTTCCGGAAAAAGTACAGCTCGGACTCAATTATCTTGATCGAATTGTGCATGTACACCGTGTCGTCATTTCCGTTTTTGCGTATCGGGTATTCAATATCGTAGTGCAAATTATAGTAACACCTGGGCCGTTTGCGTTTAAACGGTCAAACCGATCGGACCACTGTTGTTCGTTTATTAAATAAGGTAGGACCTAGTTATCTGATGCTGCTTTCAGGCGAGCCTTGAGAAAGCCTTGCAAGTCTTGCATACACATTTGTAGGTCCGCCAGGATTTATACCCGGAATTGTTACATTTATAAACGGTCAAACCGGTTGTTCCGCATAAACGAACAGGCCCCTGGTAAACAATAGTAC